AAGGAACTAATGAAAAGAAATGCAGGGGAAGGTGGCCTAGCAATTCCAGATCTTAAATTGTATTATAAAGCAGCAATCATCAAAACTGCTTGGTACTGGCTAAGAAATAGGGAGGTGGATCAGTGGAATAGGTTAAATATGCAAGACACAGTAGTCAATGACTATAGTAATCTATTATTTGATAAACCCAAAGACCCCAGCTTCTGGGATAAGAACCCACTCTTTGAAAAAAACTGCTGGGAAAACTGGAAAAGAGTATGGCAGAAACTAGGCATAGACCCAAATCTCACACCATATACCAAAATAAAGTCAAAATGGGTTCATGACTTAGATATAAAGGCTGATACATATAAGTAAACTGGGAGAACAAGGAATAGTTTACCTATCAGATCTATGGAGAACAGAAGAATTCATGACCAAACAGGAGATAGAGAACATTATGAAAAGCAAAATGGATAATTTTGATTACATTAAATTGAAAAGTTTTTGCACAAACAAAGCCAATGCAACTAAGATTAGAAGGAAGGTAGAAAACTGGGAAAGAATTTTTACAACCAGTCTTTCTGATAAAGGCCTCATTTCTAAATATATAGAGAATTAAGACAAATTTATAAGAACACAAGCCATTCCCCAATTGATAAATGGTCAAAGGATATGACAGTTCTCAGATTAAGTTATAGATAAAAAAAATGTATATGAATCTCTATTATTGATTAGAGAAATGCAAATCAAAACAACTCTGAGGTACCACATCACACCTATCAGATTGGCCAACATGACAAAACAGGAAAATGATAAATGTTGGAGAAGATGTGGGAAAATTGGAACACTAATACATTGTTGGTGGAGTTGTGAAATGATCCAACCATTTTGGAGAACAATTTGGAACTATGCCCAAAGGGCTATAAAAATGTGCATACCCTTTGATCCAGCAATAGCACTTCTAGGGCTATATCCCAAAGAGATCATATAAATGGGAAAAGGACTCACATGTACAAAAATATTCATAAGCAGCTCTTTTTGTGGTGGCAAAGAATTGGAAATTGAGAGGATGCCCATCAATTGGGGAATGGCTGAGCAAGTTGTGGTATATGAATGTAATGGAATACTATTGTGCTATAAGAAATGATGAACAGGCTGACTTCAGAAAAACCTGGAAAGACTTGTACGGTCTGATGCTGAATGAAGTGAGCAGAACCAGGAGAACATTGTACCCAGTAACAGCCACGTTGTGCGATGACTAATATTGATGGACTTAACCCTTGTCAGCAGTACATGGATCTAAGACATCCCCAGAGGCCTCGTAATGGAAAATGCTATCCACATCCAAAGAAAGAACTATGGAAGTTGAATCGCTATCATTTTTTTTCTCTGCTGTTGAGTTTTGTTTCCTCTTTCCAATGGTTCTTCCTATTGGTTTTAATTTTTACTTACAACTTCACTAATGTGAAAATATGTGTAACAGGAATGTAAATGTGTAGCCTATATGAGATTGTGTGCTGTCTTGGGGAGGGTGGTGGGGAGGAAGGGGGAGAAAAATTTTAAACTCAAAAGCATATGGAAGTGATTGTTGATAAATCAAAATAAATTAACAAAATTTAAAAAAAATTAAGGAACAGCAAATAGTTTTGATGATTATTGTTTTACAGTAAAAACTGAGCTCTCTAAGTGCTATTTCCCTACATTCCTACTTTCAAGTTAACAAGCATTTATTAGGCATTAGCTATGTGTGCCAGGCACCTTACTAAGCAATGGGAATAAAAGGCAAAAAAAGGTCACTGCTCTCAAGGAGCCCACAGTGTAATTAGGGGCACAACATAAAATAACTATATATAAATGAGATATATAGACAGTATAAACTGGAAATAATCAGAGAGGGAAGACACTAGCATTAAGTGGGATTAGGAAAGCATTATTGTAGATAGTGAGATTTTTAGCTAGGGCTTGAAGGAAGCCTGGAAAGCCAGGAGACTGAGATGAGGGAGAGAATTATAGGTATGAGGAACATTCAGTGAAAACGCAGTCAGGAGTGTCACTGCAAAGAACATCAAGGGGGCCAGTGTCACTGAAGTGCTGAGTATACAAAGGAGATTAAGGTGTAAGAAGACTGGAAATGTAGGAACAGGCCAGGTAATGAATGATTTTAAAAGACTTTAAAAGCCAAACAGAGAGGGGTTTTTTGGTCATGGAAGTAAAAGGGAGTCACTGAAGTTAATTAAATAGGGGAGTGACAAGGTCAGGAAAATCAATTTGACAGCTGAATGAAGGACTAACTGGAGTGGCGAGTGACTTAGAAAAAGGGAGACCAAATAGCAAGCTATTTCAATAGTACAGACATGAGGTGATGAGGTTTTGCAACAGGATTGGAGAGGAGGTGGGGGGAGAGGAGAGGAGAATGAGAGTGAGTAGTTGAGAATGACAACTAAGCTGAGAGCCTAGGTGACTGGGACGATGGTGTTGCCCTTGACAGTAATAAGGAAATTAGGAAGAGGGTAGGGCTCAGGGGAAACTGAGTTCAATTTTGGACATGATGAGTTTAAAGTGTCTACAGAATATTGAATTTAAGATGCTTAGTTGGAAGATTCAAGACTAGAAGTCAGGAGACAGGTTAGGGCTGGATAAACAGATCTGAGAATGATCTGCCTAGAGATAACTGAATCCACGGGAAATGATGAGATCAATAAGCAAAATAGTATGTAGTGAGAAGAAAAGGCAGCATAAAGCCTTGGGGAACACAGTCCCCCACAGTTAGCAGGTGAGACCTGGATGAAGATTCAGTAGAGAGATCAGACAGGTAAGAGGAGAACCAAGAAAGAGCAGTATGAGTATCAAGAAAAGGGGGATCGGAAGTGTCAAAGGTTGAGAAGAAGAAATATGAGGACTGTTAAGAAAAGGCATTAGATTTTACAAGTAAGTGATCATTGGTAACTTTGGAGAGGGTTGTTTGTCCTTCAATTTCAAAGACAACTGATGACATCACAGGGTGATGTCTTGACTCATTTGTGAATTGGATTTAAGTGAGGCACAGTTGAACAAAGTTGTCAATCCCACTCAAAGTCCAATGGCAAGACAAAAGTCAAGATGGCTGGCGATGGCTCCAGATGCAGTGGATGACTTTGGCATCTTCAATATATGAGCAAGCTCTAAACGCTCCACGGTGCCTGCTTCAGCTTTGGAACAAATTGTTCTTATCCACCCATTCTGCTGGGGGAAGTCTTCATATGCTTGGGGAGATACCCCCTAACTCGCCAACAGGATTGAGGACTTCACTTACCCTCAATCTAGTTTAGCCCGTCTGCTGAGATGGTTTATCAGGGTGTGACTTGGAACCACAGGTGGTAACTGGAGGACAGGTGGACACCAAAGGCAGACGAGCAGCCCTAAAAAGGGCTTGGTAAGCTCTCACAGCAGAGGTGCTAGTCCTCCTTGAACAGAAAATATACCCTGTCATGAAGTAGCAAAGAAATGATAAATATTTGCAGGATAAACAAAAGTATTGGAAAGACTCTTGGAACTGAACTGGATGACAGACGGTAACAGACACAAGAAAATAAAAACAAAGCACGAGGAAAAATGAAATAAATGTCATTTGAAAGCTTTATGGATGAAACAAAATCTCAGATTTTAAAGTCTTTTAGTACGTGAAGTGCTTTGGTAATACATTAAATACTTAAATATTTACATAAACTTCAATACTAGTGTCAGTACCACAGGGAAATAACAAATAATACTACAACTAGAATCATTTCAACATTTCTTTTTCACTGTCCCCCAAGGCCAAAATGCTTTCCCTACTCCTCTCTGATTCCTGACTTCTCTGGTTTTCTTCAAATCTCAGATAAAAACCAACCTTCTGCAAGCCTTTCCTGGACTCCCTTCATGCCAGTGCTTCTGAGATTACCACCAATTTCCTCTGTATACATCCTACACGTACATAGTAGTTTGAATGTATTGCCTACTAGAGTGTGAGCTCCTGAAAGGGCAAGGACTTTGTCCCTCTCCCCTTTCTTCGTATTTCCAGCATTTAACCCAGTGCCTATCTCATAGTAAGTATTAGGTAGCTAAGTAGGTGGCTGAGGGCCTAGAGTGCTAGACCTGACCTCAAAAAGATCAGAGTTCAAATCCTGCTTCAGAAACTTAGTAGGTGTGTGACTCTGGGAATGTCATTTAAACCCTTTTCTGCCTCAGTTTCTCATCTGTACTGGCTGCACTACCTTGGGACTTCTCTGAATGACTTCTCCACCACCGCCTTTTGTTGTTATTCAGTCGTTTTTTTTTTTTTCAGTACTGACATGAGTCACTTCACACTCCACCTGAGGTATTGCTGCCAAAGACACTGGAGTGGTTTGCCACCTCCTTCTCCAGATCATTTTACTGATGAGGAAACTGAGGCAAACAAGGGTAAGTGACTTGCCTAGGGTCACACAACTAGTAAGTGTCTGAGGCTGCAGTGGAACTCATGTCTCCTTGACTCCAGGCCTGGTGTTCGATCCACCTAGCCATCATCCCAGGAAGCTCATTACTGGGATAAACTCATCATTTGGTACCCTCTGCCTCTCTGATTGTAGAGTGGGTCCATCAATTACAAACTTCCATCAGACCAGGTATCCCCTCACTTCTCACCTGGCCACACTCCTTGTAACTTGACGACTGCCTTTTCCACCATGACCCCGGGTTTGTCTTCTCCCATTAGATTTTAAGATCCTTGAAGGCGGGGGTCTTTTTTCCCCCCATATTTGCACCCCCAGTGCTTTTAGCACAGTGCCTGGAACACAGCAGGTACTTAATAAATGTTTATTTAATAAATGTTGACCAGAGTAATAGACTAGAGTTGTCAAAATGTGTACCTCCTGCCTGGCGCTTTGCAAACCTTAAAGCGCTACGTAAACGCTAGTTTTCATGTAATATCAATGAATGCTCGCTGATTCGGTGGACGGATGACTGACTGAGGCCGGTCCCCCGGGGACCACACCAGGGGATCCTTCCCCGCCCTCCCTCACCTGCATGTTCCGGAGCAGCTGGAAGATCTCCATGGTGCGATACACGATGTCCTGCACGGTTTCCTGGCCAATCCGGCAGAGGGACGCGGTGTTCACCTCGCGTGCAGCCTGGGCCTGGGGTCCCGTAAAGGCCCCGGGCGGCATCCCGGCCCCGGCCAGCGGCGGGGTGGACATGCTGGGCCCAGCGGACCCGGCCGCGGAGGGGAAGGACGGAAAGCGGCGGGGCTCACGCCTCGCCGTGCCGCGGTGAGGAACGCTTCGCTTTATTAAACCGTGGCCGGCCGGGCGCCGGGGAGCGGCCCAGCCTGAGGGCCTGCCTTCCCTAAATGCTGTTCGTTTGGGGCGCGGGACAAAGCTGCGGGGGTACGCACGCTGGGCTAAAAGTACTAGAGGGCGGGAGAGCTGAAAGCAGCCCGGGACCAACTTCAAAACAGTCGCCTCGGCTTCCGCTTCTCAGGGACGCTAACGTCCTCGTGACGTCATCGCGCCGCAACCCGCGGCCAACGTCACACGTGAGTAAAGAGAAACTGAGGTGGAACCTGATAACGGATGCTGAGCTAGGCGTCTGTGGAGGGCGGGTGTGGGTGGCTGCCTGGGCTCCGCTTCGGGGCTGGCTGTAGTGGGAGCCTTGGGGAACCGGTCCCTGGGAGAAGGAACGAATCGATGAGCATTTAATCAGCGCTTACTGTGTGCAACAGAGAAGGCGATAGGAAAAGTTCAGGAAATTGAAGAACACAAGAATCCAGATAAGAACTTGGGTGTTTTTGACTCCAGCCTGGGCACTCGATCCATTGTGCTGCCCACCTGGCCTCCCTCTACAGAGTCAAAAAGTCACTCAAAATCATCATAGGTACCACTGTTCTCACTATCATCTGAGGGCTCAAATTCTAGTCCTGTATTCAGGGACTAAGTCACGCTTCCTAAAGATCCCAAGGTGCTGCTGTCAAGATGGTGGTTAGAGTGGGGGAGGGACACTAAATGAGACCAGGCATGATGGTACAGTAGAAAGAGAACTGGCTATGAAGCCCCAGGCTTGAGTCCAAATCGCACTACTAAGGCTTACTACCAGTGTAAGTTTGGGCATATAATTTACTACTCTTGGGCATCAGTTTTCTCATTTGTAAAATACAGGGGTTGGCAGAGGCAGCCTCTGAAATCCTTTTTAACTCTAGATCTGGGATTCTAAATTTAGAGTTGGAACTGACCTTGAATGAAGTTTGTCTAGACCAATGCCTTCATTTTTTTTTTATGGTTTCTTATTTTGACCTTTTCAATCAAGCATTTCTTTTCATCTCGCCTTCCCCTTCCATTAAACAAACTAACAAAAACAAAACTCTTACCACACACACACACACACACACACACACACACACACACACACACACACACACACACATATAGTCAAACAAAATAAATTCTCACATTAGTCATGTCTAAAAATATATCTCTGAATCTTGAATCCCTCAACTGTTGGTAGAAGGTGCATAGTATGCATCATCATCTGTTCTCTAAAATCATGGTTAGTTTTTACACTGATTTGAGTTTTAAGTCTTTTAAAGTTTATCTCTACATTGTAGTTATTGTATAAATTGTTCTCCTGGTCCTGCTCACTTCCCTCTGCATTAGTTCATATGAGTCTTTTCAAGTTTCTCTGAAACTGTTGTCTTCATTACCTCTTATAGTATAATAGTATTGTCATATTCATATACTATAATTTTTCAGCCATTCCCCAATTAATGAGCACCCCTTAATTCCCAGTTCTTTGCCACTACAGAAGTGCTATTTTTGTACATAAGGGTCCTTTCCCCCTTTCTTTGATGTCTTTGAATACTACTAGTATTTCTGGGTCAAAGGGCATGTACAATTAAATGACTTTCTGTGCATCAGTATACCTGTTTTCCCACAGCCCCTCCAACATTTGCCTTTTTCTCTTTTTCAGTCAGCCTTGGCAATCTGATGCCAGCACCATTTTACAGTTAAATAAGCTGAAGCTTAGAAAAGTTGTGACATGCCGAAATGTCATCCACAGAGTGAATGGCAGAAGTGGTAACCAAAACAGTTAGTGACTCTAAAGCAACCTGTATATCAAGCTTTACAATTTACAGAGTAATGAGCTGGCAATAGTTCTGTGAGTTATCAAAATAGTATTTTAACCCTGTTTTACAGATAAGAAAATTGAATCTAAAGAGCTGATGTCATTGGCCCAAAGTCATGAAGTAATAATAGCTAAGATTTGTACAGTATTTTTAAAGTTTGGAAAGTGCTTCATTAATAAGTATTTCATTTTATCCTCATAACAACCCTGGGAAGTAGGTGTTATTACCAACCCCCACACACACTTAATAGATGGGGAAACTGAAGCAGACATAAATTAAGTAGTTTTCCCAGGGCTGCACAGCTAAGTGGCTGAGACAGGATATGAACTCAAGTTCCCGACTTCAGGAATTCAATCCACTAAGCCATCTAGCTGCCTCTCTATAGTATACTTGCATTTCTTTCCAGGGTATTCAATTTGTGAAGTGTTTTCTTATGACGTTAAAGTACATGTTGACGATAGTACGTTTTCACAAATGTATAAACATACAGTTTGAATATTAGAGCAGGAATGGACCCCAAGGATTACTGTGTCCAGCTCCATTTTGTGGCTTACACTTCAAGAAGTGCTTTAAGATCATCAAATCATAAACATGAATAAAATAACTGTGAACTTGGTTATTATGCCCCAATGAAGGGGTAACAGGTGCTGTTGATCTTTATACGTACTGCTTGTTTGTTCACACATCCCTTCCCCCAATCTAGGCTTCATAAGGATGTCTTTGATTTCTATGTCAGTCTGTCCTTGGCCAGGGCCTAGCACGTAAAAGATGCTTTAAAATGTTTGTTGAAAGAATGAATGGATGGATAGACACAATTTGAAGCCATAAGTTTGGGAACTAGAAGGAAGACATACAATTTCAACCCAGGTGGTAATGAAAAAATTGCAATCATTACCCTGAGAAAAAACTTTTTTTTTGATTAGATTAAGAAAAAACGCATACTTGAAGCCTTCTCAGAAGTAGTCCCACCTGGCTCTAACAATCCCAGCAAGTTTCTCTAACACTTATGTGGATCCTCAAGATTGTGCTTGTTTAGACAGCTATTATCATTTGTTTTGTGCTTATGCCATATGATAATTGTACTTTCTCACAAGAGATGTGCGCATATATAATCATAGACTTAGAAATGGAAGAAGCTTAAAAGTTGATCTAGTCCAATCCCCTCATTTTACACATAATGACTTGCTAAGTATTTACATAGTGATTCACAATTTACAAAGTGCTTTCTTCACGACAATCCTGTGAGGTAATGTAAGTATTCACATTTTACAGATGAGGAAACTCAGTTCAGAGGAATAAAGTCAGTTATAGGAATACTGAAACCCAGAGAGGTGGAAATAACTAAGTATGGTATTGACCACTTCACTGTCCATCGCAGCTGTTCCACATCTTTTCCTCAAACTTCCTGCACCACCCCCTCCCCTTCTCCTAGCAGAGTAATTCAGGTCCTTCACTGAACAAATAGAGAACACCTGTCATGAATGCCTTTTCCATTACTTTGCTTAGAAGCCCTCTTGATCAAGCCCTATTCTCTTTTTTGCTCTAGTCTGATGAAGTGGTCCTTTTCTTTGCCTTCTTGTACTTTTTATCCCATTCCCCTTTTCATCTTTTAGAAGGCTTGCTTCTTTGATCAACCTTGCTTTTTCATCTTCAGTCTCCCATCTTTGTTATCTCCTTATCTATTGGCTCCTTCCTTTTTGCCTTCAAATATTACCAGGTCTCTTCCCTTCTTGAGAAAACATTCATTTGACCCTTGTGTTCCCCAAGCTGTCTTCACAACTCTCTCCCCCATTTCCGTATCTCCCCCTTAATTATCAGTCTCTTGTAATTTGGCTTCCAACCTCTCCGGTTAACTGAAACTACTCTCTTCAAACTTACCAAATGTTCTCTTAACTGCTGAATCTGATGACATTTTCTTAATTCTAATTCTTCTTTAACTCTTTTCAGCTTTTGACACTGTTGACCCAGCTGACTTCCCCTAACCCCACATAGCTGATTGATTATCAAACCTTTACATTTTACCTCCCCATATGTGATTTACCACATTGCTGTCAAAGTGATTTTCTTGAAGTGTAGATGTAACCATGATGCTCTCCTACTCAGTACATCCCAGTGGCTCCCTATTGTCTCTAGAATAAAATAGAAACTTTTTTATTTAGCTTTGCAAGCCCATCACAACCTAGCCCCAACCTACATTTCTAGCTTTGTTATTCATTATTCACCCTTCCTCACTCTTTGATTCAGAAAACTGACCTCTCTGTTCTTCACACGTGACATTCCATTTCCTATCTCCATCCTTTTCTAGTAGCTATCTCTTAAGACAGGAGTGTACTCCTTCCTCATCTTTATCTTATAGAATCCTTCTCTTCTTCGAGATTCAGCTCAAGTGCCACCAGTTCTATATGCAGCCTTTCTTGATAACCCCACCCCCAACTTCCGGGGCCCTGCTTTGTATTTATTTTCTTTATATTTATTCTGTATATACTTGTATATGTACTGGATCTTTCCTGTTAATATGTAAGTTCCTTGAGAGAAGGGACTGTTTCACTCTTTGTATTTGTTTCTCTAATGCCTTTTACAATACTAGTTAAGTATCGTGGCAAAGGAAAGGGTGAATGCTTGTTGATTAACTGATTACCACTTGCTCCTGGATATTTTCTTCCCTCAGGGACATCATTGTCTCTTTGTTCTCCTACCTGCCCATCTGGCCATTCATGAGTCTTATTTTCTGAATCATCATCACCCATTTTCCCTCTTCCAAACTAACCATAGGTGTCTCCAAAGTCTCTGTCCTTTGCCTTCTTATCTTCTTACTCTATACCCTCTCTCTTGATCATATCATCTCTCATTGATTAAATTATCATCTCTGAAAGTATTCCCAAACATACATGTCTAGCCTTTATCTCTCTCATGGTCTTCAGTCTCACATAATGATCTGGAGCCCAGAGGGCTGCTAAAATACTTCCCAGCTTTCAAGTTCTGTGACTCTGTAACTAAAGCTTAGAATGAGACAAATATTTCTTAACATTATCATTGCTATAATTCTGGTTAAGCAAATTGACAGGGGAAAAACTAAAATTTAACCTTTAGCTTGACTGTTGAATTTGTCTTTGTTTCCAAGTTCTTACAAAATTCAAGAGAACACTGGTTATAAGGCAAAGAATTTCAATGAGGAGAACACACTGTTCTTTGGTTTTTTCTCTAAGCAACAATCGTTGGAGATAATTAATAAAAGGTCTTTGCTGAACTTGTGTTTAAAAATTGAAGAGTGTGGAATTTTTTTCTTCTATGGGATGATGGTCATTAATGACAGGGAGAAAGCAAAGCTATTCAATTTCTTATTTTGTATATACA